GCGGGCTCCCCAGGGCGTCGCGACGGACGGGCGGGGCGCTCGCGTGCTCCCCAGGGCGTCGCGACGTGCAGGGTGGGGGCCGCGCGTGCTCCCCAGGGCGTCGCGACGGACGGGCGGGGCGCGCGCGGGCTCCCCCACGGCAGGAAACCGCCGCGCGCGCTCGGGGCGCGCGGCGGGATGAAAATGTGAAGGTCGCGCGCCACGGGGCGCGCGACACAGAGTAGGGCAGCGGAAGCAGCAGTGGGGCCCACAGGCCAGGAGCGTGAACGCTCTGATACCATGTTAAGATAGTAGCTAGAAGTGGAAGCCATAGCTAGGAGAACCCTAGCTAGGCAAGAGAAAGTTTAGGCAAAGAGGGGGTTCACTAGCAGCAATGAGGATACATATAGCAAACCCTAGATGGGTTGTACTCGCTATAGAGCACCCCACTACAGGCTAGAGAATAACACTCTGACATTCCACACTGAGCACCCCCAGGCGTAGCACCTCCAGTCTCCCCACACTCAGGCTCAGCACCTCCAGACTCAGCACCCCCAGGCTCCTCACGCTCAGGCTCAGCACCTCCAGACTCAGCACCCCCAGGCTCCTCACGCTCAGGCTCAGCACCCCCAGACGCGGCACCCCCAGGCGTAGTACCTCCAGGCTCCTCACGCTCAGGCCCAGCACCTCCAGGCCCCACACGCTCAGGCTCAGCACCCCCAGACTCAGCACCCCCAGGCTCAGCACCCCTAGGCTCCGCACGCTCAGGCTCAGCACCCCCAGACGTAGCACCCTGAGCACCCACAGCAGGACCTGACTTACCAGTGACCTCAACAGGCTCAGGCACAGGAGGGTCTACCTGAGAAACACCTGAAGGAGCAGGACCTGGCGCAGGGAGGGGGTCTTCCTCGGGAGGACCTGGAGCGAGGAAGAGCGGAGGCGGGGGGGCGAGCGGCAGTGCGGTAGGGAAAGAGACGGTAGAAGGGGACCGACTCGTCGAAGGTGACGTCCTGAGACGCAAAGACACGGCGCGAGGTGGGGTCGTAAAACTGCCAGCCAGGCGCGTCAGGAGGAAAACCAAGGAAGACGCAGGGAATGGCGCGAGCGGAGAGCTTGTTCGCGGTGGTATCGCGGACAAAGGCACGAGCACCCCACACCCAGAAGCGCGACGCATCGCCAACCTCCCCCGTCCACAGCAGGGTGGGCGAGGTCTCCGGCAAGGAGACACGGGGCCAGAGGTTGAGCTGATGCGCGGCGTACCGGACCGCAAACGGCCACAGAAAATGGGGGGCAGCTGCATGGATCATGGAGGTACGAGCGACCTCCATGACTAAGCCAATGCGGCGCTCAGCAACCCCATTCTGCTGCGGAGAGGCCGGAAGCGTGAACGACTGGCGGATGCCGTGCTCCTCACAGAAAGCTCGCAAGAGGTCGGAGGAGAACTCGCCACCTCTGTCAGAGTGCAGACGCAGGACAGGAAAGTCCGACTGGAACCGCTCGCGGAGCTGGAGACGAACAGCGTGGATCCAGGGGATCATTACATCAAGGACCTGACCCTTGCTGCGCAAGGGGAAGACCGTGGTGTAACGCGAGTAGTCGTCGACGACCAGCAGGAAGTACCGCTCGCGGCCCTGCCCCTGGACGCGAGCTGGGCCCCACACGTCCAGGTGGAGAGTCTGCAGTGGAGCCTCTGTGGGAGGGAACGAGGAGGAGTGAGGAGCGGCGCGCTGCCGCCCCTCGACGCAAGGAATGCAGGGCGGGGCAGGCGAGGGAGGGAGGGCGGGCAGAGACCTGGGAAGGCAAGAGACCAGCAGGAGTGCATGCCACGAAGGCGGGGTAGAGAGGGGTGACCAAGGCGGTGGTGCCACAGGAGAGTGTCGTGCGACAGGCGGCGACACTCACACTGGGTAGCTACCTGGGCAGACGCGTACAGCTGAGGAGACACAGGGGTGTAGCGCGACATAGTGGTGAGGGTGTACAGACTGGACCCTGGCGCACGTGTGAACGTGGCCAGGTGGCGGCCAGTCTTGGAGCACGTACAGATCGCCACACGCTGTCCTCCAGGAGTAAAGGTGTCAACCCAATGATCCTGAAGGACGGCGTTGCTCACCAGGTTCGTAGAGAACGAGGGGATGTGGAGACCTGACAGCTCACCAGACGGGACCGCCGGACACGGGAGCACAGTACTGGACCGTGCAAGCACTGGGCCCCTAGAGGGGTCAGCCAGTGAGACAGGGACAGGTGCAGGGAGGGGAGTGACTGTGGTGCTGTCGCGAAAGAAGCAGCGGGAAGCACCTGAGTCAAGCGTGAAGGTGTGCAAAGCCTCAGCAGGCGCAGTACCAGGGAGAGCAGACTCACTAGCACCTAGGGCTGCAGTCTCTATACCTGGGTCAGGCGGCACACACAAGTAGCAGTCACCCTCAGCACTAACAGTCAATGCATACATAGCAGCAAGAATCGCATCATAGTCAAGATCAAAGATAGGAACATCACGCCTAAGCAGGTCTGCCCAGTTGGGGAACTCAGTAGCCTCAGGAAACTTGGCGCGCCAGGCGTCACTAAGCCTAGCAAAACAGTGGTACTCAGTGTGAAAGCCGTTGCATGGGCGACCAGCGCGGGGACCGGCGCGAATGACATAGGGGCAGCGACCAGGACCCCTAGACCCCCCACACTGAGCATACCAGTCATGAAGCTGCTGAGACGTGGGGGTCTGGCGCTGACGCTGCTGCTGCTGCTGTGGCTGCTGCTGCTGCTGCTGCTGCTGCTGCTGCTGCTGCTGCTGCTGCTGCTGCTGCTGCTGCTGCACCTGGCCACCACTGAAGCCCCCCTTCGGGCCGGCCGCACTCCCGCCCCCACCTCCGCCACCACTACCGCTGCCTCCTCCCCCACTCCCGCCGCTGCCTCCTCCACTGCTCCAGGTCCCACCGCCGCCCCACCCACCTCCTCCACCCCCACGACCACCCCCACCACCTCCACCACCCCCGCCGCCTCCACCACCGCTCCCTCCACCGCCACCTCCACCACCCTTACCACCCTTGCCGCCCTTGGTGCCGCTGCGCTTCCCACTAGGAGCGGAAGCAGCTGTGACCTTCTCAGTACCGAGGAGGTCGACGGCAGCTGCAGCATAGGCGTAGGAGGGGGCAAGAGGGGAGGGGGAGCACCCCTCAAAGAGGGGAGTGCGAGGAGTGCCACGAGCAGCGCCTACAACAAGGATGTTCTTTTCTGCTGCTAGGAGCTGCTGCTCGAAGTCGGCTAGAGTGAGAGTGGTAGGGTCTTTGGCGAGGAAGTGGTCCCTGACTGAACTGAGAGTGTCAGGGAGGCGGGTGACGAGGATGTAGAGGGTAAAGTACAACGGGGGGGGGTTCTTGGCGAGGAAGTCGTCCGTAAGGGCGGCACGAAAGCGAGCGTCACTAGCGCGGAGGTGAGAGATAAGGTCCTCAGCGGTGGCAAACGAGGACAGGTCTGGGAACAGGTAGGGCAGGATGAGTGGACCTACGGCTGCAGTGGCTGGGGACGAATAGCGCGCAACTACAGCGTCATACAGTGCCTTAGCAGTCTTGTGCTGGCTAAAATGCGCGCGCTCAGTGATCGGCAGATGATTGCGAATAGCAAGGCGCGCAGCAGCATCGCGAGTCTGCCACTGTGAGCGGTCAAGAGCAGTAGCAGTGTCAGCAGGAGCAGCGGCAGTGCCAGACGCGTGATCGAACAGTGAAACGCCGTCTTTTGCATCAGTCATAAGAAACAGTTGCAGGTCGTCGAGCCAAGTGGCAATCTCAACCGGGCTACTATCAGGCTCAAATGCGAGAACATTAAGCGTCGCCATGATCGCAGTGCAGGTGAAGGCAGCGGGCAAAGGCTGTTGGCACAGGCAGCAGGCAAAGGCAGCAGGCACAGGCAGCAGGCAAAGGCAGCAGGCACAGGCAGCAGGCAAAGGCAGCAGACAATTGCAGGCAGCAGGCAAGCTCAGGCAGCAGGCAAGGGCGGCGCGCAAAGCAGCCGCAAGCTGCGCGTAAGCTGACTAGCAGCACCGGCAGCGCACGGGTGGGGCAGGCGGCAGTAGGGCTGGTGGCGCGTGGGGCTGCACGACGGGCAACGAGCAGGGCTGCGGGGCAGCGCGATGGGCAGCGGCAGGGCGCGCGCGGGGCTGCGGGGCAGCGCGACGGGCAGGCAAGGCGCGCGCGGGGCTGCGGGGCAGCGCGAGGGGCGGCGCGCGGGGTTGCGGGGCAGCGCGACGGGCTGGTAAGGCGCGCGCGGGTCTACGGGGCAGTGCAAAGGGCGGCGCGCGGGGCTGCGGGGCAGCGCAACGGGCAAAGGCAGGGCGCGCGCGGGGCTGCAGGGCAGCGCGACGGGCGGCGCGCGGGGCTGCGGGGCAGCGCGACGGGCAGGCAAGGCAGGCAGGCTCAGGCAGGGCGTGGGGTAGCACGGTAACCGCGAGCGGTTGGTGGTGGGCCCTAAAAAAATCGATCCTGAGGTACTAGGACCTCCTGCTCTGAATACCATGTCAGAATAGCTAGGCAGGAATGATTGGATTGAAGAGAATCTGGGTACAAATATGAAACCCTAATGGGGGCTATACCCTATATTGGCTACCCCACTACAGCCTACACATATATACTACATATATAATTTGACACCACTACTCCTGGGGGCGAGCTCGTGGCGATCTGTACGGACTCTGTGACTGATGACCACCTCGCCACGTTCACCAGGAGGCCTGGATTTGGTCTTTACAGACTGCACTCTGAGTCTGCACAGGTCGCTGTGTCTAGTCAGGTAGTTGCGTTGTGCTCGTGTCGGTTACTCACGCACCCGTCTCTCCTCTGGCACCACCGTCTTGGTCACCCCTCCCTGCAGCGTCTGTGTTGCATGCACTCGCGTCTTCTTCTCTCTAGCCTTCTGAGGTCCCTGCCCATTCTGTCCCGTCGCTTGCGCTGTACACTCCCTGCGTCGAGGGGCGGCAGCGCGCCACTCCTCATTCCTCCTCGTTCACTCCGATTACTCCTCCTCTGCAGACCCTGCACATGGACGTGTGGGGCCCCGCCCCCGTTCCTGGGCCAAGCCTGGAGCGCTACTTCCTGCTGGTCGTCGACAACTACACGCGCTATACCACGGTGTTTCTCTTGCAGCGCAAGGGCGATGTCCGTCTTGTTCTGATCCCTTGGATACGCGCTGTTCGTCGCCAGCTGAGCGCACGGTTCGATCAAGACCTCCCGGTACTCCGTCTGCACTCTGACCGTGGAGGTGAGTTTTCCTCCAATCTCCTTGAGGACTTTTGTCGTGATGAGGGCATCACCCAGTCATTCACGCTTCCGGCCTCTCCACAGCAGAATGGGATTGCTGAGCGCCGCATTGGCTTGGTCATGGAGGTTGCTCGCACGACCACGATCCATGCGGCCTCTCCCCATTTTTTGTTGCCGTTTGCGGTCCGATACGCAGCGCATCAGCTCAACCTCTGGCCCCCCGTCTCCGAGCCAGAGACCTCATCTACCCTCCGTTGGACGGGGGAGGTTGGCGATGCGTCGGCGTTTCAGATCTGGGGTTCGATTGCCCTTGTCCGCAATACTACAATATCGGACAAGCTCTCTTCTCGCACCGTTCGCTGCGTCTTCCTTGGCTTTCCCACGACGCGCCTGGCTGGCAATTTTATCACCCAGCCACGAGTCGTGTCCTGTCCTCCCAGGACGTCACCTTTCACGAGTCGGTTTGCTACTACCATCTCTTCCCCCACGTGTCTTCTCCTGTCCCCTCGCTGCCCCTCTTCCTGGTTCCACGTTACCCTCTGGTAGACCCCCAACCCCCCTCGCGTCCTGCTCCCTCAGGTGTGTCTCAGGTCACATCACCCCCCTTGGTTGAGCCTTTGGAGTTCTTCTCTGGCCCAGCTGAGGGGGGTGACCCTGCTTCTCACAACACTTCGGATCTTGTTGCTCCCCGCACTTGGCGACCCCTCCTGGTTTTCCGCCTCGGCCGTCTTCGCCGCCTCTGCAGCCTGTCGTTGTGGACTCCGGTGCTGCTGGAGGTGGTGGCGCTGGAGGTATAGGCTTTGGGGGCGCTGGCGCTGGAGGTGCTAATCTTGGAGGTACTGAGTCTGGGGGTGCTGCACTTGGAGGTGGGCAGCAGCTGCCGTCGCGTCCTCAGGAGACTCTCTCTCTACAGCAGCTACGTGAGTAGGTAGTCAGACGCCGTGCTACCACTGGAGGTGGGTTCTGGAGGTGTGGAGCCTAGGAGTGCTGACTCTGGGGGTGCTGAGCGTGGAGGCGGACAGCCGCTGCCGTCGCGTCCGCGGGAGACTCTCGCGCCGCAGCAGCGGCGTGAGTGGGTAGTCGGACGCCGTGCTGACTCTGCAGGTGTTGGTTTTGGGGTGCTGGGCGTGATGGTGCTGCCACTGGAGGAACTGAGCCTGTGGTTGCTGATACTAGAGGCGCTGGAGGTAATGGAGCAGGAGGTGCTGCGGCTGCTGGTGCTGGAGGTACAAGAGCCGGAGGCACATGAGCTGGAGGTGCTGGGGGTTCTCGTGCGATAGGTACTGGGGTTGGGAAAGCTTGTTCTGGAGGTGCTGGAGGTGGAGGCACTGTTGTTGGTGTTGCTAGAGGTACTAGAGCCGAGGGTACTGAAGGTTCTAGTGCTGGGGGTGCTACGCAACCTGTATAGCAGCGACCGTTCATCTGGCCTCAGCCAGAGTCAACGATGCCACCACCTTGCTCGGCGCTTCGCCAGGTTCTTAGTCTTCCGTCTTCCACTGGCCTTACTCCTCCCCTACTTTGTCCTCCGCTTGACAAGTCACAGCCACAGTTACAAACTGACTCCCCATTGCCTGCTTTTTCTCCTTAAACTGAGCTGACAAACTCTATGACAGAGCGTCGTGAGCCTGCGTCTCGTCCTGCCTCCCCTGTTCGCACTGTTCGTCGGGCTCGTTGTATTTGTCCTCCACCTGTTCCCAGCACACACATTATGGTACTTCGTCCTTCCTCTGTTCCACAGCGTGTTGCCCTGCCGTCTCCTCCAGCGTCCTCTCTTCCCGACGTTCCTGACCTTGAGTCTGACCTTGTTCGCGCTGCTAGTCCTACTGTCACACGTGTTTCTAGCCACACTTGTTACTGACCCTTCTTCTGAGTCTGCTGCTGCATTTGCCTTAGTCACTGAGCTTGTTGACTTTGCTGCTGCGTGTCGTCTCGACTACGTCGCTAGTCTTGTTATAGAGTCTGAGTCTGATTGTCCTTCGTCCGTCGGGGGAGAGTGTGCCCTTCGTACGATCGTCCTTGAGGACATGCAGTTTAAACTCGAGTGTTTTGCGGCTGCTGTACCTCATCTCGCTGCCATGTTGTTTGCCCTTGAGGGAGACCCGGTTGCACTAGACATCCCCACCCTGCGCTCTTACATAGAGGCGATCACGGGTCCTTACTCCTCTCAGTGGCAGACAGCCATGGACACAGAGGTGGCATCCTGAAAGTCCACAGCCACCTACGTCGACGCAGTTCGCCCTTCTGGGGTGAACATAGTCGATGGCATGTGGATTTTCATGGTGAAGCGATCACTGGGTTCTCCGCCTGTCTTCAAGGCGCGTTACGTTGCACGAGGCTTCAGTCAGTAACAGGGAGTTGACTTATTCCAGACCTTCTCCCCCACCCCAAAGATAACCACTCTTTGGGCATTACTGCACGTTGCAGCACAGCGTGACTACGAGCTCCACTCGCTTGACTTCTCCACAGCTTTCTTGCAGGGCAGCCTTCACGAGGAGATCTGGCTGCGCCGCCCACCTGGCTTTACTGGGTCGTTTCCTGAAAGTACCCAGTGGAGCCTTCAACGGCCAGTCTACGGTGTCCGCCAGGCGCCCCGGGAGAGGCATAACACACAGAGGACTACACTTGTGGCTCTTGGGTTTGCTCCTTCGACTGCTGACCCGTTGCTGTTTCTGCGCACCGACCCTTCTGTGCGCCCATTCTACATCCTCGTGTACGTCGACGACTTGGTTTTTGCTACTGCTGTTACTGAGGCACTGGCCCTTGTGAAGGCGGAGCTGCAGAAGGGACAGTCTTGCACTGACCTGGGTGAGCTGCGCAGCTATCTTGGCTTGCAGATCACCCTAGACAAAGCAAGGCGCACCATTATTCACCGTGACTCAGTCACACATGGTGCAGCAGGTCCTTGCCTTTTTCCGGGCCCGTTGTGTCAATCTCCACCTGGTAACCACCCTTTATCGCCTTCTTGTCACCAAGGATTTCGCCAGCGTCAGGCGAAACGCTGGTGGTGATGGCGAGGCTCACGGGATGGTCGCGGTTCTGCTGAGAGAGCACGAGCGCGCCGCCGGAGACGACGGGGAAGCGAAGCGAGGGCAGCCCGAGCGGACCGAGCAGATCGAAGTAAAAATCGCTGGCGGGGAGAGGGGCGAAATCAAGGCAGATTTTCGACGCGTCGTCGAATAGGAGCCCGCCAGGAGCTTGCGCGATGGTGCTGGCCAACGTGGCGGCTGCTGATTGGACGGCGTCGGCCATGGCTTCCTGCTGCTGCGCCCAGGGCTATAGAAGGGGATTTGCAGAAGAGCGGGACGCGGTCCTTCACGGTCAAGAGCGGTGACATTTCGAGGAATGGAGGAGCTGGAGGCAGCTGTAGCAAGGCAGAGAACAGCTAGGAGAATGCTTGTAGCGCGGATGGCCATGTTGCTCAAGCTATGCAGGTCAGAGAGTGCTTGGCTGCTAGGTGAAAAAGGAGCTCTTTGGCGTTGTAAGTCATGGGATGGTGTTAATCGTTTGGCACGAGGTGTTTAATAGTCGGCGCAACGGCGAGTCGCTTTGCCTTGAATCAGCTGGCATAGCGGCTGCTTTAGGCAGAACGGTGTGTGTGCGTGCTCCTCCCATTCGACGACGCCGCGGATACTCAATCCAGCGCAAGCAGGATCGAGTAGCAGGTGGCGGATGCGTCCGTATTTCGAGTCAAAGTGGCGAACCGAAGCGCGAGCGCCTCCAAACCTAGTCGGGTGTTGAAAATGAGGCTTCTTGTGTGAGTTATAATAGGACGACGGGGTGAAGGGGCATCGCAGGAACTTCGAGGACTCCAATCGCGAGGGAGCTGGGGGTATCGGGGATCCTGGGGAGGAGGCTAGACTGAGTGACCCCGCGCTGCAGGAAGATTGGGACGAGCGCGCCTCGGCTGGCTACTACTTGATGTCGCAGAGTTTGGAGCTGAACCAGCGTCACCACGTCATGCACTTGCTGCCAGAGGTTGATTGCTGTCCGTAGGCGTGGACCATGTTGAAGGAGCTGCACGCCCCTACCTCTGTTGCCGCGACGCTCATGATGACGAGGGAGCTGTCCGCGTTGCGCTTGAGCGAGGGAGAGCCAGTACAACCTGTTCTGGACAGGATGCGTGATCTCTTTGCGAAGCTGGCGATCGCGGGAATCACCTACCCGGAGCAGACCAAGTGCCTGAAGATGCTCTCGCTGCTGCCGGAATCGTGGCTTCAATTCACGAGCGGATTGAGCCTGCCGCCAAATTTTGGAGGATGACTTCCGTCGCCGCCAACTGCGGGGTGGAGACGACGGCAAGAGCGGCTACGGGATGCAAGGGAGCCAACGTGACAGAGGTCGTGGCTTCGGTGGTGCTGGGCGCGGTGCAAAGAAGGACGACGACTCCAACGACCAACAAGGAGGTACCGGTTGGGGTCGCGGCGCGAAATCTGGACGTGGGGGCAGATTGGGTGCTGGTGGCAAAATGAAAGGAAGTTGCTGGTATTGTGAGAAGGAGGGGCATCCCTGGTTTTTGTGCTATGTTGCTGGGAATGAGGAGGGTGGCGTTAGCAAGTGCTGAGAAGTTGTTCTTAGAGTTCACTGGAGGGGAGGTAAATGGGAAAGGGGAAGGGGAAGGGGAAGGGGAAGGGGAAGGGGAAGGGGAAGGGGAAGGGGAAGGGGAAGGGGAAGGGGAAGGGGAAGGGGAAGGGGAAGGGGAAGGGGGGGGAACAGAACATGGGAGGGTGGCTCAGCAAGTGCTGAGAAGTTGTACTTGGAGTTCACTGGAGGGGAGGGAACGAGGAAGGGGTTGGGATTGGGATTGGACAGGAAGGGAGTGAGGGAGTCGGTTTTACTGGAACGGCAAAAGAACAAAGCGGGTGAATGTGACTAGATGGCAGATGAAGGGTGAGAAAAGAAGGGAAAGCAGGAAGATAAGAGAAGGATGAAAGCACGGAAAAGAGAGGAAGCAAGGAAGTTGATTCAGGGAGAATGAGACAGGGAGAATGATCCAGGGAGGATGAGTGAGGGAGGATGAGGCAGGGAGGAGGAAGCATGGAGGAAGGGGCAGGGAGCAGAACTGACTGGCGAGGTTGACGTATTTGTTGAAGTCCTATGAGAACTTGGAGTACTGCGGGTAGCCCTGCAGCAGCCGCTTCGCCATCCGCGACACCTCTGCCTTGATCTGCGCCTTGGTTGGCGGGGGGCGACGCGCACCAGCAGACGCAGACGCCGCGAGGAGGAGGAGGACGTGGAAGGCAGCTCGGGAAGATGCAGCCATGGCGAGTAAAGCGTTTCTTGATGAGCTTAACACTGGTGAATGTGAGATTTGTAAAGCTCTTCGTGGAACGCAGAGGAACCAGAACGGAATGTTAAAATGCTCTCTGTTGTGAAAGGTGACTGGAGAGGACTTTGCGATCAACTCGAGACGAACTGTGCTCGATGATTGATTGATCGAAGGTGGATCTGGTCGATTTTATACCTCGGAGACCGTCGATTGGAACCTGTGGATCCGTGCCTCGAAGCTTCCACGCATTCCCAACCATCATAAGTAAAGATACGCAAAGGACGGTTGGATTTGAACGCCAGGGCCGACTAATGCGCGAAGAGGGGGTGAGGGAGCAAGGACACATCGCCACGTACAGCCCAGTGGCGTACGAACGTCACGCGCAGAGCCATGTAGCACTGCGCCACGGGACCGCTAAACGACAGGGTTTTCCAAGCGGCTGTGGGCAGAGAGGGAAGGAACACTACCGCCCATGGCCTGTCGCCGCATGCCTACCACACTGTGCTTCTGTACTGTGCTACTGCAGGACTGGGTGCCCGCGAGAATGGTAGGGCGTGGGAAGAGAGTCGTCGGCCAGCCCCCAGCCCAGCACACAGGTGGATGCACCCAGCTCCGAGCCATTGATGGTACAGCAGGATACCACGCCACCTCGGATGTCGTACCCATTGAAAAACGCGATTTCGATTGCGCTCTCGCACTGGTCACGTGCGTCGGGACTCAGGGAGTCGATTGATAATGGCCAATCGAGTTAGTATGCGGTCGTTGGTCGGCTCGCTCGGTCCAACCTGGGCAGTCTCAGGTCGGTCACTCTCTGCGTGAACTGGCGACTGCTAATCGGCAATGTGTAGGTGCGGAACAGCCTAGCTGCCGGTTCAACCAGTTTCCGTCATGTGCGTCGCAATGAAGCCCATCACCTTCACGTCAGTCACCATCCATTGGGCAGACAGACCGACAAGGAGCTTTCATCCCTGGTCAGTCACGGAGAGAGCAGGGCGTGCGATTATGTTATGCCGCGATTTTGGGCTTGGGAATGAAGACAACGAGCTGTTATTGGAAAATGTTACGTGTACAGGATAAGAATTAATCACTGTAGAGGCTGCTCCTAGCGAGGATAGCCCCGTGCACTTCGCGTCAGTTTGGGTTAGGCCTACACTTCCGCCTAGCACGTATTCGCCCTATAGATGTTCGCTTAATTAATTGGATCTTCAATCTGTATTCACATCCTTTTTATTACCGTTTTTTTCCGGCTATAGGACTCCCCGGCCAGAAGGTCCTGTGGGACTCTCTAACAACACTGGGGCTCTTATTTTGGCAAGTTCTGTGAGGACCCCCCTTTGGCCCCTAATCAATTTAAGACCCCCTTGTTCTGTATATAGTAGATGTCAATTCTTTTACGCGTCAGCTTATACAAGCACAAATTTGAATTTCGACTCGTTGTTTGTGTCAGACTCGAATTCTGACACAGATCTTTGTGTCAGGGCGGGTCCAGCTTTGAACATGGTCATTTTTTCGTAAATTTAGCGTCAATGCACTTGTCAACCTTGACTGCACCCCAATTTGTACTCAGAACACTCTGTGTCCATATATTTCGGAGTCCTGACACAGTTCAAGAAAGAGACATGATACAGTATCAGGGAAAGAGTTACCAGATAACGCATACGATCAGCGCGACGACGAATCACCATTTTCTACTTGTTGCGGCCAGTCGCATTAGTTGCGACTGACCTTTGGCGAATCGCATGCGTTACTGTTTGTCGTTCATGACGCAATACGAACCGCTGGACGAATTCACTGTGTACCTTCGAATGTGTTCACGCGTCTCTGGGAACGTTTTTTGTGAAGAATGAGGAATGATTGAACTAGGAAAATGTTGGGTACAAATGTGAAACCCTAGAAACCTGTACCCCTTAGTGTCTACCCCACTAGAGCCTACAAAGACTAAGTCATATATAGCATTCTGACACACCCCCATAGGCAAAGTGGGGGAGAACTAGAGGTCACAAGACCAGTCAAGCAAAGCAAGCTCAGGGTGGATCACAACGTCACCACACATTCCGAGCACAGGTTCAAGGCCACAAGGCCAGTTCACATGCAGGATTATATATAAAGGTAAACAAGCAAGAGCAGGTATATATAAATCACAGTACAAGCAAGGTCAAGAAGTGAGCAAGTGAGGCCAAGTAGGCACAAGACCTAGCATCGTACAAAAGCGCTGATGATCACAAGGCTGAAGTGCCTTGGTAAAGATATCAGCAGTGTTGGCCCGAGAGGCCACGTAAGCAAGGCGCAGCTGACCACGCTGCTGCAGCTCACGAGCAAGGAAGTAGCGAAGAGCAATGTGCTTCGTTCTGTGCTCCAGTCTGTGCTCCCGACACAAGGCCAGCATGGCCTTGTTGTCTACGTACAGAACTGGAGGAGAACGAGGCGGCTCTCCCAGGTCAGTCAGCAGGTAGGTGAGCCAGCGTAACTCCTGTGCAGCCATGGCCCCTGCGTAGATCTCAGCCTCACAGCTAGAGCTGAGAACAGACGACGAGCGGGTAGACCGCCACGAAACAGAGCCGGAACCAAGGCTGAAGGTGTAACCCTGTGACGACCGCTGCGTAGCCAGGTCGTCGACCCAAGACGCGTCTGCGTGACCAGTGAGGACCACTGAACTCCGCCCTCCAAGCACAAGCCCCATGCCCGACGTACTGCACAAGTAGCGCAACACCCTCTTCGCTGCAGCCATGTGCTCTGGTCGGTGTCTCCCAGGAGCAACATAGCGTGCCAAGATGCTAAGAGGATATGCAAGGTCAGGTCGAGTGCAGGTCATCAGGTACATGAGGCAGCCAACAAGCTCTGGGTACGGGCCACTCGGCTCTACGGACTCATCCGAAGGCAGAGCTGAGAGCGAGTGGCGAGTAGACAGAGGAGTGGCCTGAGGCGAGGAGTACGTGAAGCCGAAGCGCTGAAGGACCTGCTGCACCATGTGTGACTGAGTCAGGGTAATGGTGCGCCGTGCTCTGTCCCGGGTGATCTGCAAGCCGAGGTAGCTGCGCAGTTCACCCAGGTCTGTGCACGTGTGTCTCTTCTGCAGCTCGGACTTCACGTGGGCGAGTCCAGCAGTGTCAGCTGTAGCAAAGACCAAGTCGTCGACGTACACGAGGATGTAGAACGGCGGCAAAGAGGTGTCGGTGCGTAGAAACAGCGACGGGTCGGCAGTAGAAGAGCCGCAAGTGTAGTCCTCAGTGTGTCGTGCCACTCACGTGGCGCCTGGCGGAGACCGTAGACTGGCCGGCGGAGGCTCCACTGGGTACCAGGAGGAAACGACCCAGTGAAGCCAGGTGGGCGGCGCAGCCAGATCTCCTCGTGCAGGCTGCCCTGTAGGAAAGCTGTGCTGAAGTCAAGAGAGTGAAGCTCGTAGTCGCGCTGAGCGGCTATGTGCAGTAGCACCCGAAGAGTGGTCATCTTCGGGGTGGGAGAGAAGGTCTGAAAGTAGTCAACTCCCTGCCGCTGACTGAAGCCTCGAGCCACGTAACGCACCTTGAAGACAGGCGGAGAACCCGGCGGCCGCTTCACCCTGAAATCCACATGCCACTGACGATGTTCGCCCAAGGTGGGGGAACCTCGTCGACGTAAGTGCCTGTGGACTTCCAGGAAGCCATCTCTGCGTCCATGGCTGTCTGCCAGGAGTAGGGACCCTCTATCGCCTCTGCGTAAGAGCGCGGAGTCGGGATGTCTGGTGCATCCGGGTCTCCCTCAGGGGCAACCAGCATGGACACGAGATGAGGTAAAGCAGCAGCAAAGCACTAGAACTCCTCCTGCCTGTCCTCAAGGACGTCCGTGCTAAGAGCACACTCACCCCCGACGGACGGAGGACATACAGACTCAGACTCAGCAACGAGACTAGCGGCGTAGTCTAGACGACAGGTAGCAGCAAAGTCAACAAGCTCAGCAACCAAGGCAGACGCAGCAGTAGACTCAAACGACGGGTCAGTGACAACAATGGCGGCACGAAACCTGTCAGACTCAGGGTCCGGAACGGCAGGCAGAGAGGACGCAGGGGGAGACGGCAGAGGAACAGGCTGCGGAGTAGAGGAAGGACGACGGACTACGAGGTGTGCGCTGGGGACAGCCGGCTGACGCGAACGAGGAACACGACGACCGGTACGACCAGAACGAACAGGCGAGACAGGACGCGACGCAGGCTCACGACGCTCAGCAAGACTACCTGTCTGCTCAGTGTAAGGAGAAGGAGCAGGCAGCGGGGAGCCAGGCTGTAACGGAAGACCAGTAGACGACGGGAGAGTAAGAACCTGACGAAGAACAGAGTCAGGCGGCGGCAGAGACGACGGAGACGGCAGAGCGAAGAACAGTCGTGTCGGCGCAGCTGCACCAGCCCTAGCAGCTCCAGTACCTCCAGCAGCTCCAGCACCCCCAGCAGCTCCAGAACCTCCAGCACCCCCAAAACCGGCACCTCCAGTCCCAGGGTCTCCAACCTTAGTGTCTTCGGCAGCAGCACCCCTAGAACCAGCACCTCCAGTCCCAGGGTCTCCAGCCTCAGTGCCTCCAGCAGCAGCACCCCCAGACGCAGTACCCCCAGCAGCTCCAGTACCTCCAGTACAAGCACCTCCGGGACCAGCGACTCCAGCACCTCCAGTAGACAAAGTACCAGCACCACTCCTAGCTCCAGGGACGTCAGCAGAAGTACCTCCAGCAGCAGAGCCCCGGGCTCCAGCAGCGCGACCCTGATGGCGACCGTACCAGTCGTGCAGCTGCTGTGAGGTGAGAGGCACACGCGGACGAAGGCGGCTACTCCAAGGAGACCGCGCACCAGCAGTCCCAGTACCCTCAGGCGTCTCACCTCCAGACTCAGCACCCCCAGACTCCGCACACACAGGCTCAGCACCCCCAGACACAGCACCCCCAGGCGCAGGACCTCCAGTCTCCTCACGCGCAGGCTCAGCACCCTCAGATTCCGCACCCCCAGGCTCCTCACGCTCAGGCTCTGCACC